GGGTTATACAGTTCTGTTGTAATGATCCTCTAGTGACCCTGTAGCTGTTTTGCCTTTTTTATAAATGAACTTCCTGGATCAGGAGCTAACTTATTAATACATTTAAACATTAATTTAAGAAAACATAGGTTACAGAAATTTTCAAAAGTCATTAGATTATGTTTCTTTAGGGTTGGACAGTGATGATATCTTATTGGCTTTTTGGTAATATCTGGGGTCACGAGTGTCTGCAGCTGTTATTTTGTGGGTCAGAAGCAAAAAAGTTTAAAAACCACTGGTGAACAAGTGACCAACACATCTGACAGCTTTCTTCCTCAGCTGTTGACAAGAATGTTGATCAATAGCATTTAAAGACCTCAGTTAGTGATTATAAATTTAGCAAATGCTAATCCACTAATGAATAAAGAAATTAGCAAAAGCCCTAAAGCACTAATCAGGAAATTAGTTCCCCCCATTAGTGCTTTAGTGCTTTAGGGGAACTGTGCCCACCACTGCCCTTGTGTATAAGCACAACAACTGCCTTTTTCCACCCTGCAGGGAACATGGAGGTACTGATTGATAAGTTAACAAAAGATTATTCATATATTTCTTCATAAAGTCACAGTTAATGTTAGAAACATCATTTGAATTAGAACGAGACCAGTTTGTAATGATCAGTACAGTTTTCTTTCCTCTATTTGTTTAACATAAAAATAATTTTGTGACACATCCTGAGCAGTGTTTATCAGCCTGTGTTAAGATATGTGGTGGAAAATGCTGGGTTAACTCTTCCACTGACCGTTTAAACTAAGAGTTGAATTCATTTGCCATGATAGACAGTTCTTTACTGCCTTTATTTTTACTGTTTACATTGGTTAAATTGTTTAAACATTTCCCTTTGCCCTCTCTATTAGTTGAATATAATAAGAAGCTTTAGCTTTACGTAGCTATACAACTATTTCTCAAACTTTTATATGATAAGAGATCAGTATGAAGCTTTGGTTTTAATGCTTTCTTTAAGGCTGCATCACGAGTTTTCATGAGTTTAATGATATCAGAATTTAACCACGGAGGTGTACTTCGTTTTGTTTTACATTTTACTTCCTTTCTAAAGTTTTCTACTACTCTTGTAATAGCTACTGTTGTTGCATTACAACACTACTGCACACTCAAAGGGCATTATTTGTTCCCAGTTTAAATTTTGTAGCTCACTTTCAAATTGTAAATTTTTTGGTTTAGGAATAATAGACAATATTAATATTATCAAGTTTCCCAAAATATCTAAGTCTTTTTGCAGTGAGTATTCTAACTGTCAGATTCAAGTTATGATCAGAAAGCCCAGTAACTAAATTATACGTCTTTGTAAGTCGCTCCGGCCTATTAGCAAACATTAAATCAATAAGCGTATTGGTCTGCCGAGTAATCCTAGTTGGACCTTTAGTAACTTGGTGATAACTGAATTGAGCCATTAGATCAAAGATCAAAAACGATCACTTTAGACCCCCTTCAGACCCAGGCCAAAAGAACGGGATTAGTCTGGTTTAATAAAAATGAAGTTCGGGTTGGTTTCCTGAGTTCATTAGTTCTGCTGCTGTAGACGGACAGCTGGAGGACAAACTGATCACTTGTCCTCTCTCTGCTCTTCATGTTTTTATTATTGCTGCCAAAAAAGTGGTTTTCACTTGTATGGGCAGAAAAAACAAGAAGCTTGATGTCCTTCACCCAGCTGTGGGCTACCAGGGGTCTCACCCTGGAGTCAGGCCTGGGGGAGGGGCTTATTGGGGTCAGTATGAATGAGACTTCCTGTGGGTCCACCACCTGCAGGTCTTGGTGCTCAGATCTTGGCTTATCAAAGCTGGATCGTGGGACATTCAGTCACCTCTCTGAGTCTTATTTCAGAGGATGACCGGAGGCTGACGAGCTGAAAGAGTCCTACCAGTCCTACTGGGCCTTGGTAGCTGGTAGGAGGCAGCTGAGTCTTCTCATCACGTACGTTGTTTTACTGCACTCAGAATGGTCTTTTATAAACAAACCATTGAAATGGTGGTGATACTGTAACCACCTAACTGTGCTTCTGTCTGTGTGTCTGTTCCCATCATGTCTCAAGAACAGTGGGAAGGATTTTGTTGGAAATCACAGAACAAAGTGAATGGGAATATGCCCTGAGTTGATGAAAGTGGCGGATCTAGGATTTTTCTAAGTAAGGGGCCATCAAGCGGTCCCAATATTCATAGAGGGGCCAAATATTTGTTCAGTATTCTTGAACAGAAATCCCTGGTTTTGGTAAGGTGTATATATTGCTTGCACAGTAAATTCTCCTTACCAATTTTACATGCATTTTTAATGTACATAAAATATTCTCAAACACAGCAAAATCTAGCCATCATTGGTGAGTTGAGAGACTATTTTCTGCAGGATTGTTCAAATTTTAAGAAAATAAAAAAACTATCAGCTTGATTGATGCTGGACGTTTCTAGTGGTCTCATTTAGCACCTCTAGTGTTTTGGCATGGAACTGCACACGGCATCATCGCTTGACAAAGGACAGATGAGTGACAGGACAGGGGCACTTCAGGGGGGCAATCAAATTTCAGCAGGGGCCGCTGCCCCTGTGGCCCCGCCCCCTGGCTGATTACTATTTGGAGTCAATCAAATCTAAGACAGCCAGCGGGCGATCTACATTTGGCCTTTAGCTTTACTTGTTTCTACAAGACTTTTAATTTGGTTGAAAAAAATATCTAAATTATATTTAAAACTAGAAGCACTCTGAGAGTGCAAACCTCCACCAAGACCAATTTCCCCCATCCTGCAATGGAGTATTTCGCGGATACTGCCATCTTTGCTGAACGCAAAGAATCATGGTCCAGTTTGGGGCAGATTTCTATTCTGTGTTCTAAGCTGTAGACCTTCATGAAGCTCTAAAGCTCCCACTTCAAATATTTTCAACTGACAAAGCCTCCCTGATGGGAAGAGAAACATCTACAGTTTCAAAACAGAAGTCCAGTTATTTATATAGCTTAAAAATATTGATTTATTTAATGCCTCTAACCTCATGAAAAGCTTCATCCTGATATTGAGGACATTTATTTTATACTAGTTGTCTTTTTTCAGATGAACTATTTTAATTTTTTTTAAGTAAAATACAAATTCATATTTTTAATTCTTAGTTTTTCAAAAAAGTTATATTTATAAGGTTCTACTAATCTTATATAGCTGGGAAAGATTTAAATAAGCACAAAGCTTGGGACTCAAGAGGATAAAACTGGTGGGGCACAGCCCCCCGTGGCCACCCCCACTTGTTGTGTCCCTGGTGACTGACAGGTGATGTTCCACAGTGAAATGACGAGCTGCAGCACTGCACATCTCTGCTGGATCTAGCTGGAAGACTTTTCAAATTTGTCTTCTGAGGTATTAGTAGCAGAACCTGGTACCGGCCCACGAGCTGAACCACCGGCCCTCTGACCTGCGTCTGGGCCGGTGCTTCAGCTCTTGGGCCGGTACCAGGTTCGACTCGGCTGCGCCCGCATCTTCTCTGTTATTCCTGTAACGTAGCAACACGTTCCTGAAGTTCTGTGCAGGGCTGGGGGAGCTCGCAGCTTCTGGCTGATTCGCTCGAATTAAAAGAAATAATCTTGTGTCCGCATCGTGATCCGAAACATCACCAAAATGTAAAGGTGTGTTACGTGTGCTAGTATGAACAAGTGTTGTAAATATCATGACAATCCGTCCACATGGTTTTGAGTTCTGCTGTCCACAGACAGACAGACAGACAGACAGACAGACAGACAGACAGACAGAACATTACCTCCTCGGCGGAGGTAAAAATAGAAATATTAAAACATATGAAACCAGAACAAAGTACAGTAAAGCTGAAGGACAGCAACGTTTGGATGGAACAATTAAAGTGAGTTCATGTTTTATTCCAGAAAAACAAAAAAGGTAAAAATAAATAAATAATTGTGATGGACTTGCGACCTGTCCAGGGTGTACCCCGCCCCTCGCACTGTGACTGCTGGATATGGGCACCAGTGACCCTGAAAGGAAGAAGTGTGTACAGAAAATGCATAGATAGATAGATAGATAGATAGATAGATAGATAGATAGATAGATAGATAGATAGATAGATAG